GACTTTAAAGGCAATGAGACTATAAAATAATATCAGTTTGATCTAACGAGAAACTTCGAGAACCGGTTCCGTATCTCGCAAATGACATATTACGGATAATGATACACATTTTGCCAAACGATAACCGGTAATAATTGATAGGAATTTAATCTTTACAAGATCAAGTTATAAATATATATTGGATAGGTTCTCGAAGAAATAATATTACTAAAGTTAGTAGAATGTTTTAATCCTTTTCCTTAATAAATTTTATTGCATCAATTAAAGAATAATACAAAAATAAATATATATTACATTTATGAAGTATAAATGCGTTCTTATCGCTAAAAAAATCTTTTCCATATAACTTTTGGGAAAAGGAAAAAAGAAAACAGAAACTTATTACTTTCTTTTCTTACTTTGACTTACTAATATATATGTATATGTATAGTAAGTATACCAAAAATGTAAGACAATTATAGATAACTAAATATACCTCTGCGTGTATGGAACTGAAATACAATGGCCACAGTTTATTTAGGTCTGAATACTCGTGCTCTGTTCCCTCTACTTCGCTTTTTGGTGTTTTGTTATTCTTGTAAAATAACTATTATAACTTCTACCCGTTAAGGTTTAGTCGAGAACAAACTTTGAAATTGTGATTTTCATTTAAACACTTGCCGAAGTAATATTTCAACAACATTTCAACTCAAGAGCGTTTCTGTTGGTTTCGTAATTTTACTTTTACCATGTTACCTCGTATCTATCTCCGGCACTAGCTGTCTTATTTTATAAATGATTTTTCCAATTGACAGAGACTAAAAGTCTTGATCCGCGAAGTAAATAAAATAATTATATGATGGAGAAGTGACTTTAACAACGAAAAAGTGTTTATTTTTATGTAAAATTTTACTTAACATTATGTTTCTACAAAATCATTATTATACAATAAATGTGCAAGGAATAATATTTCAGATCTATCTATATGTATAAAAACTATGTATACCGAAAAATAGATATACAAAAAACCCAAGAGGTGTTACAATCGACGAGACTAAAATATGGCGCTGTTTTTAGTAATTTTTGTGATTTTATTGAATTATGCAATTATTTGTAAACAGCCAATTAGAATTTTTATATATATGTAAGTTTTCCAAAGATTTAATATTTATAATACTAAAAGAACACGAAATTTCATAACTAATAAATTTATGATTATTTTTTTATTTTAATTAGTGGCAGTTTTAAATGTATTTTCTAAATATTATATGTTAATCTTGATTTTTTTTTTATATCTGTGAAGCTAATCTAGCTAGCGGGGTAAAGGTAAATATCAGACGTCCAACCGGCAGCAGATCGATATATATGAGTGCGTAGCGTACTGCACGCCAGTACTAAGGGTACCGCAATATCTATGTGCAGGGGTCCTCCCCTCTGACTCATAAAGAGGGTGGGTTCCCTTTTGAGTTTGGTCGATACTGCTCTCTTTTGTTTTCGCACTTTCGACAAACTGTGCCGTTCTGAGTCCATTCCCGATAGTGGCTTAACTATTTAAAGGACGAAGGTTAGTTGGGTTCATATCAGTCGGTATTGATGTTAAGAATAAAATAGAATTTGATTATTCGATTTTTAAATATTTCAATTTTATTGTGAAGCAGTGATACTGTTCATAATAAAATTAGTAACAGTAAATTTTAAACTTATCTTTAGTTGTAACTTAAATGTTTCGTACAGAAATTGACTTATATCGGTATTAATATTTCGTTTTCATTATTTCCTCGTGCCAAGTGTATTTTTGGAGTGTATTGTGTCGTGTCTCGTGTTCTTTTTATTTATCTTTACTAACTTTTGATACAATACTTCGTACGCGCGGTATTCAAAAGGAAACCAACTGAATATACCACTTCTAGAAGGTGTACAAGATGAAACATATACCAGAGTTTAAGTTAAACTTTCAGAAATACAAATGTGAAAACTACTTCTAATTTGGGGCAATAGTTTTTGTGTAATAAACAAACGGTTAAAATTACGTAAAATAATTATTTTAACATCTATTGGTCTTAGACACCGTCTAGTTATAATTTTGTTATATTTGTAATATTGTATAGTAAAATCTAAACAAGTGCTGCATTATCTACCAGCTAACCGTTAGATAAATACAGAAAGCGATTTAAAAGCAGTGGTGGCGAAATATATGAGACTTACTCGTATATAATTAAAAAGATACAGTGGTACTTTTACTCAAGCTGTTTTGCTATTCATGTCTATAAATGACAGTTGCCACTTACCACCAGATGGACACATGGACAGACAACTTGTTTGCCATTCCTAGTTACATGAAAATAACTTATATACATTAAATTTATGCAATTTTAGAATATAATAATATCTAATGAAACAAAAACAATTATGTATTGTAGTTTCACGGAACTAATGTTTTACTCACCTTTATATCTTTGCAATAACACTGAAAATAGAGGTTAACTATGAATAGGTAGACTAGGGAAGATTCAGATAAATTCTGGAAAGCAAACACTTAAATCAAGTGAAGCCGGGAGATGTGGAAAGTGAGTTTGCAGAAGGGGGCGCCCGGATCAAACACACGACATTTGTCAATATCACCTAACTTCGGTGTTTTGAGCTCCGGTACTTATATCGGGACTAGTTGTATCCTGCGGATTTACTTGCATGAAAAAATAGGTATAGAACTCTCTGTGTAGTGAAATCTATTAAAATCTATTCACTCGTTTAAGAACGAACGAACATTTTTACAAAATTTCCCATCTTATAAATGAATTATTTTTATCAATTAAGTCATAATTTAAGATTATAATATGGGAATAAACATTTCGATAGTTCAAAAGGAATTATCAAAGTCGGTTTAGAATTCATGAAAATAACAAATAACACACACTAAAACGTACAGACAAATTGATAACTTCTTCTCCAAATAATCGAAGACACATAAATGTGGCAATGAATTCGATTCTCGGTCATAACAATTTAAGAAACGAATTTTCTTTTTTTTATACGAAAAATGTGGCAAACAAGCAGACACATATATTGTCTGATCTCTGGTAACCATAACACTGGTGTTCTTGTTTGGGACCAAGGACGTTTTTTTATGGATGATATTGGAATGGTAGCCCCGCCTGCGCTAACAGTATACGCTGTTGGAGCACCAGTGAGGAGTGATAGGTGAGAATAAAAAATACTTTTGAAGAATTGAACACGATGGTATCCAGGGGGACCACGTGGAGGTCGACCTGACAGGGTATAATGCTAGCAACGAGACTGGTACGCATTATTAACAATTTCTGTCCACGGACCAAGGAGGTTGAATAAGTTGCGAATAAGACTTTTTTTATACAACTTAGAATGGCAAACAAGCTCACGGCCCACCTGATGGAAAGTGGTAACCGTCGCCTATAGACATGAGCAGTACCATAGACATAATAGAGTTTACTGTTTTGCCCATGATCCCCCCCCCCCCCCCATGCGTTGCCATTCCTGAGGACTCAGGTGTTATTCCTCTGTACCCTGTAAATTCACGCCATATTCCATCCTTCAAACTGAAACACAGTCATACAAACACAACTGCTTCACGGTAGAAACACGAATGGGACTGAGGTACCCAAGCAGTCGACTTTTGTACAAAGTCTCCCTCTGGTGAAAAGACGAGAAAAGACTCCATATAACCACAGTATAATAGTATGAGCCTGCCCAATGAGGCATCTCGGGCTAAGCGCATATTACCTTCTGAGGAATTGTAATCGATTTTTCGAAGGGTTATAATAAATATATGTTATGATTCTTAACAATGAGTAAGATTTCTGAAACCCTACAATAATAATAATAAACTCTTTATTGCGCACAAAAAAGATGTAAACAAGGAGTATGAATACAGAATGTGCATATACAAAAGGCGACCTTATCGCTAAAAGCAATTTCTTACAGACAACCTGAAGAAATACCGATAGCGTTGTTTTTTTTTTAATTTTCTTAAAATACTTTAATTGCTGTTTCTGCTCATGTTTTAGAGCTCTTCTAAAAAAAACCTTTCATTCTAATATAAGATATAATTTTGTTAGGTAAATTTTTTTTGCAGCGAATCTGAAAGTTATACTTTAAAGTTGACTCATAAAACACGTTTTTAATCTAATTGTTTAACTAGTACAATCCACCCCCGAACTTTAGGGCTTCACGGTCATTGAACTTAGGGTGCAATCATCATAGCATGCAGAATACAAGTTTACTATAACTACTTCTAATTTTACCGTTTCTAGGTAAAGAATAAAGAATTTATTTAAATATCGTAACCATCGTGTTATACAATTAATAATCTATTAAAAAAAAAAAAACAATGATCTCGAGTGTATTTTTGTGGCATTGCGCATTATGTGCATTAATTATAAAAACATTTTTATTAATATTTTTTTTTAATAATATGAAGAAATTATATAAAAAAAATAATAAACAAAATCGACTATTAAGTAGAAGATAAATGACTGACAATAATATTATCTGTAGCACTTTAGACCCCTGCAGACTACAGCCGCACCCCTACATACCCTTCAAACGTTCAAAGTCTTCAAAGAATCAGACTTGCGATGTCAGAGAAATAAATGGGCAAGATAAATAGTACACAGAAGGGGTATATTTTATTTACACGCCAAATTGCCTTATAAATCAGAATTACTTAGACGTATTTACCAAGCGTTCCATTAAAATCAATATATCTATTTACGACAGGTTTTTTTTAAGTAATGGCAATTTATAAAGTAATGCAATTAATGATCACTTTTCGTTTAAACCCTATATTTACAATTATTTTACATACACAAATATATCATTAGCATCCTTCTAAAGAAATATTTTGCTTATATAACAATTTCTTGCCAGAGAATAATCTAAAAACAGCAAATGTCTCGACTACAGATATGATGCTTCCAGCTATCAAGCTAGTAACACTTACAGAATAATATTGTACATACTCAGTAATAAGTTTCTATTGTCCGGGATCGAAGTCGCAAATATACTAGGTTGTATGTTAAATCACTACATCACCGAAGAGAGACGTCATAAAAAACAATAATGGTGGAGATTCAATTTTTCAATTTAGTTATAGGGACACAATTGCTTCTTCAAATATATTATGGTACCTATATATCATGTATTTAAATTAAGAAAAAAAATAACAATATCTTTATTTCATTTCAAATTTATATATTAAGCAGTACAGAAAGTGCAACACATCATAGCTCTACAGAGTTCCATAGCTAAAATGCATGGGCTCCACACAGTGACAGCTAGCAAAAATAACATAATATTCATAAATTGCTTCCAGAATGTCAAAAAGTTAATACAATGCGGGTAAAACCACGGGCATATGTAATAAACAGCCAAACAAGGCTTTTTTCTTAATGATGCCATAAACAAACTACACGCAAAATCAATTGGTTCTTTACTCTTTTTTTCCTGTCGTTTATTCTTGTGTTTTAACCTACGCTTGGGATTTTTGTCTGCAGCATGTAACAGAAAATGGGTAAAAGCATACTGCTCTAGCTTATTACGAGCTGCCGTAATGTGAGACATAGCACGGAGCCTTGCACATATTCGTTTCCAGGTGGAAGCTGTCCCACTGTCACTTAACGCATTTTTAATATTAACCAAGATCCGTGATGGATCTCTCGCTGAACTCTTCAATATTTCGCTTGTTCTTTTAGGGTTTACGACAGCCCTGGATGCACAGCGTATTATATTCATTCCAGCCGACATACCTAATCTTCCGATATCTAAAATAGATTCAGCAGCAAGTAAGATGTCACTGGTATTCTTATACTTTTTAATTTGAGCATCCATATATTTATCACGTTTTTTTCGCTCCTTTCGACGAATTTCATCTTCCCGTTTATATTGCTCATTGCGCAACTGAGCTTCTTTATTTTTAAGTTTTTCCATTAATTTTTCCTTCTTATTTTTTTTCTTTTTCTTATAAGTTTTTTTCATGTTTTTCTTTTCTACAGTAGAGAGGGGTTTCGACTGCATTTTTCTTGTGTCATAACTACACATTGGGCTGCCACATATACAAGGTTTGGTAACTTTTTTTAACTTTGGTCTAAGTTTAACTAACTTTTTTATTGACTCCTTCTTGCAAATAGGATTACCGCACACACAAGACTTGACAATTTTTTTTGGAGATTTTGATTTTTGGATCAGGTTTATCTTTCGTTCAACGCTAGACTGGCCTAAATCAATATTTTTTAGTTTTTTAGGGAACACTGTTATCTTAGCTCCCTGTTTCTTAACTTCTCTCGTTTTTCGAATTTTTTTATTTATTAATAAAAGTATTTTTGAAGACGGAAAATCATTAGGTGTTATACGAGTAATTTTCTTTTTATCAGCGTTATTGTGGTAGATACAAGGTGGATTACACTTACAAGGAGTAGCGCAAGTACATAGTTCACTATGTTTTTTTTGCTGAGATTTTATAGGCATTTTATCCATAGAATCCACCTTTTTTTTACAAAGAGGACAGGCTATGCGATCAAAATTCAATGTATGAGGAATTATTTTACTATTCTCAATATTTTGTTTAAAAACTTTTACGTCAGAGTACTTATTTTTTTCTTTCTTTTTAAAATATAGAGGACAAGTATCTGCATTTAATTTTTTTGTCGCGCTTGTTAAATTTATTGATAATAATTTTATTTGCATTTTTTTTTATTTAAACATTTGGCCATTATGGTATTACCATTTCCTTTTCCTTGATGAGTTAGTGGAATTTGCATTCTTGACTCATAATGGCATAGAGTACTCTTATCATTAAATTTAGAATTCTTCATTTTTCCGATCTTTTTAAATAAACAAAAACATTTTTTCATATAATTTAAACCTGTTTTGTCATTATTTGGAATAACATCAATTGTTTGTTGTTTGCAAATAATATCAAATGTTGTCAAAATTTTTTTCTCTCGTATCGAGGGCTTTGGAGTGTTCAGCGAAACATTTTTTAGTTGTTTGCCTTTTACATATTTTTTACATATAGGAGATACTGTTGAAAATTGCACAATTTTATTATTTGCAAAAAAAAGTGCCCGAGTTTTTCTTTCGTCAAAGCTTTTGTTCTTTTCGCCATATGGGATTTGATAATATGAAGAAATAAACATTTGTGTGTCACCTTCTGGTTCTTTACAATTATTTTTAAGAAATGTATTACTTGTTTTTAAATATAAATGCTTTTTCTTAATTTGATCTCCATTATAACGTGAATTCATTACAGAGTCTTCAGTCACTTCTAGACCTTTGGATTTTTTAAGATTAGATAAATCTTTGGAACTAATACACTGACGATGACTTTTTGATGTCTTTATAAACTTCTTATGTGTTATTAAAGTTCTTGGTAAATTTTCAGCTTCAATATTTATAAATTGTGACAAATTATTTTCGTAATTTGGTATACACTGTAATTTTTGTTTTTGTTTATTTCTTTTAAATATTTGTACAAATTTCCCCCTTAAAGTTTTTAGTCTGAATGGATCGGGCTTGTATGTTAAAACATATTGTGGTTGTGTTTTATTAGACTCATTAACATTGCAAATATTTAATTTTTTTAAACTTTTGTAAAAATAAATTTTGTTGTGTGTTTTATTTCGTAAAATATTTCCTTTATTTGCCACATTAGGACTATATTTGAAATATTTATTACTGGAATTTAAATCTGAAATGCGTTTAACATTAAAAATCGATGTTTTGCTAAAATTTTTATTATACTTACTCGGTATAAAAGGATATACTGTTTCTAATTCATATTTTACTGGTATATGTTTCTGATTATTTCTATTTTGTGGGTTTCTTAAACGCTCTTTATTTTTACGCATTATTTCAGATTTGTTACTAATATTGAGAACAGTATTTTTAAGCAAATCACGTTTGTATAAACATTTTTTGCCATTTTTTATTTTGTATTGTTTTAGACTATCGTGATTTTTCCTCTTTGTGGCATCTATATCTACTCTATTTATCATAATTATTCTTTCATTATTGTGAACTGGTATAGGTGTATTATTTTTTTGAAATTTCAGTGTACAAAAGCACCTCTTCAGGACATTATTTACTTCAGATGTTTTGCTTTTTGTTTTAGTAGCATTTACTTGTGAGTCACAATCTCGTGTATTTTTGTATTCCTTTTTGATGTGGGTAGGTTTCGACTTTAAATCTTTCGTTACTATTTTTTGTTTATCATAATTTAAATACTTATTCGTTTGATAAGAATTTTGTTCATCAGTTGAGCTCACATATTCTTTATAAAATTCAATATTAAATCTAAAATTAGATTGTTTCACTTGACTGTCAAAAATATATGAGAAACGGCGTTTCTCTACAGTTAGATTTTCTTGTTGGTTAATTTTATCATCTTTATTTTCTATTAATTGTAATATTCTAGATTTACGCGAAGAGACATCGGATATTATATTTGATACGTGCTTTGGGGGTTTTGCAGATGCCTCTCGTTTTCTTGATATTCTACGTATACCCCTATTTTTTATCCTTTTCTCAGATTCATAGGGATCACATTCGTCTGGAATACAAATGTTTGATGCATATTCATAAGGCTCTAATGTATGTCTAATACGTTTTGTTTGTGAATCATGATTTAAATATGCAAGTTTTATACCGTCGATTCGTCGCGATTTTAATCTCAGATCTTTTTTTGGAGTCGTTACTAGTTTAGTTTTTACATTAGATATTATGCGAGGTGTATCACTGGAAAAAATTGGTGATCGGTCCTTAAAAAATTCTATATCGAAGCTAATATTAGAACCTCTACGTACTAATTTACGGTGGCAACTTTCAGGTTGCGCGTATGTTTTACGTTGTTTTGTATTTTGGTTTTTAGTATATTCTTTTGTTTTCGTTTTAGTTGGATCAGTATTAGTGCATTTACATTTAACATTATCATAAGCAAGACTAGACGCTGTTTTAGTTTTAATAAATTTTGTCACCGTTCCAGAATCTTTTATCTGATGTCGCTTTTTTTGGTATGGTTTTGTAACATCAATATTCTTGGTAGAATTTTCGACAGTTGTAATTTTTAGAAGAGCGTGATTTTGGGTTTCTTGTTTACCAAGTTTTTTAAGTTTTAATTTACAAATACACTTTCTCAATAAAGGGCTAATACCCGATCTTCGTGGTTTAGTTTTAGTGTCTTTAAAATCGCCTCTGGGTTTGGTTATTTTTTCGTTGTTATGTGTTAATTTTGGTACAGATGGTAAAAATGTTTCCTCATGTCTCACTTGTATAGAATCAGAGGCCTTTATATTCTTATTTTTACTGAATTTGACATTTAAACTAAAACTGGAACCTACACGAATGGCTTGTCTGTATGAATCGGAATCAAATCGTTTTTGTGGCTGCTTTTTACTCTGACTTTCCAAATGATTATATTTACCTGCATCATATTTTAGTATATCACGATCTCGTAATTGAATTGATTTATCGTTAGGTTTTGATCCAAATAAATGATTTGTTTGTTTCGTTTTATGCGTATCGGTTGTTGTCGTTTGCATTTTAATTTCTCTTTGGTTTATTCTTTTTGCACACGCATACGCATTACATTTATATGGAATACATACTTGAGGTTCACATTCGTAAGGTTCAAGATTGTGCAAAGTGGTGAAATATACATTTTTGTTTACAGACTCTCTATTAACACTGCCATTATATGATTTAAATTTTTTTATCGTTTTGCAAGTATCAGGATCCAAAGATTTTTTCAATTTTTTCTCAAGGTTCATAATTTGACATTTCTGAAATTTTAATGTACAAAAACATCTTTTTAAAAATGTTTTGAACATAAAGCCCACATTTTTGTTTTCCATTCGTATTGCTATTGCAGATTGTAAATTTTTATCTACGACAGTTACTTTGCTAAGAGATCCCTGATCCTTAGATGATCTGTTTCCTACATTTTTATTTGTATTTCTGTTAACAACTTTGGCAATCGCTTGAATATTACAATTGGGCGATTTGTTTTTATAAAATTCAATATCAAAACTAAAATTGGAACCTATTTTCACCGCTTCTCCGTCTGATGTAATAATAGGACTGCCTAGTTTGTTTTTTTCGCTAGCCAATACATTAGTTTCTCGTTTAGGTTTCTCTTTAGAAACTTTATGCATCTTTGACTGTATTCTTTTTGATTTAGATGTTTTTGAAGATTTTAAACTCGATGATGACATTTGTGAAATTCTATTTACTTGCCTTTTTTTATTATTTTTTTCACATACATAGGGATTACATTCTTCAGGTACACAAATTCCTGGTTCACATTCAAAAGGCTCAAGTTTGCGTTTTATATATTTGTGTTTTCGAGTTTTGATTACATGTTTTCCAACGTTACCTTTTTGAACATTTTCTATTCCAGTTTGAGAATTGAGATTATCTTTTTCTGTATTAACATTGTTTGATTTAAGCAATTTAAGTATACATAAACATCGTTTTGGTGACGTTTTTTTTTGCGCTTGCAACTCTGTTTTACTTCTTACCTTCACTGATTTCATTATGGACACTAATTGATTTTTATGTTTGATTTGCTTTTCATGTAACTTGGCAGTACAGAAACATCTTCTAATAGGAGATGTAGTTATAGTAGATTTTACTTGGGTTGTCAAATCTCCTATTTGAGCATCTTTATTCTGAGCAAATTTAGAATCCTGAGAACATTTGTTTCTTAGTTTTTTACGTGTTATATATTGTGAATCTACTGACTTGGAATAAATTGACGGACGGTTTTTCTTCATAAAGACTTTGTTAAATAACAAAGTCTTTATGTTTAGTAGAGATAGCTTATCTTTATAAAATTTAATATTGAAACTGAAACCTGATCCAACACGAACTACTTGTCTGATTGAATGTTCGATCAGTGGTTGCTTCACAGATCTATGTTTCATTCCCATTTCCTTAGAACCTACAGACGTTTTATTTTTTTTAATGTTTGATTGGATTTGCGTTTCTTTTAGGCTATTTCTATTAGTTGCAATACTGGATGCAGATTTTGTTCTAGAAGGAATCATTTCAGAACCAAATTCTCTAGTTCGAAGCTTTTTATTTCTTATTTTAATTTTTTCCAAGCATTCATACGGATTGCATTCGCACGGTATACATGTCTGAGGTTTACACTCATAAGGTACGAAATTATGTATGAATTTATGAAGTTTCACATGTTTTGTATTTTGACCTGTAGTAGTCATGTTATTCATTTTCTTTTTGGTATTTAGAGAAGTCCGCATGCCTTGAAAAATTTTGTTTTTCTTATTATTGATTAATACTTCCTGTTTTCCTTTTTTTTGTAATTTTAATGTACAAAAACATCTTCGATCTCTGAGAAAAACATTAGTCGCCTTACTTTCAGTATTAGTGTTTATGGATTGCGAATCTTGATCATTGCTTGAATGTCTTATTTCTTTAGTGCCTTTTGATTTTCGACGGGTAGTTGTTACAGCCTTTGAAGGTGTTAATAGTTTGGATTCTTTAATATTACCACGTTTTGCATGATTAAAATCTTTCCAAAATTCAGTACTAAAACTGAATTTTGACCCTATATGTACAGCTTGTTTTTTTGATTTATTTTGTAACATTTTATACTTTATGCTTGTGGGTAAAATAGTTATATTTTTTTCACCAGATCGTACATTAGATTGAAGAATTTTTGCTTTAGGACTAGACGAGGATTCAGTGGCATAGGCGGATATTGATCTGGATTTTACATCTGTAGCAGACATTTTAGTATTTTTCTCCATTATTCGTTTCATTATTCTTTTTTGACATT